ATGGGTGTTTGCAGATTGTGACAGCGGCAAAAGGGTAAATAACAGCTGTAGTAGGAGAACAGACTCTGGAAATAAATTGAAAGTGTGCTGTGAACGAAAATTGACGAGCTGCCACTGGACCAAAGGCGCAGCGGGGCAACGATGGGGCGTGGCATTTGAGGGATCCTTCCGCTACAGTTTGTCTGATTGACTGAAAGGTGATTGAACTTATTTGCATAAAATAGCCAAACGTAGACAATTTCTTCTCTAGTTTTTCCCTGTCACTCTCCCACTCTTCTCTCTTCCCACTCTCTCTTCCTCTTTCTCTCTTTCAAATGTTTGGACTTTAATTTTGTGGTCTGGAATGGGACTTGTGAGTGCCAGACAATTGCGTCTTGCGGTTTGACAAAAATACAGAAAAAGACATTTCCCAAAGACAATTGCAATGTTCGGATAGCTGAGTGAGTGCTTGGGGGAATGAGCGTAACACATCTGTTTCGTACAAATTCATTCAGTCGATTGTTCCCAGCCAGACAGGAAGACCAACTCAGAGCTGGTGCGGGCGACACTCAATTCCGTCAACAGAAAAGTTCAATCAGAAATTAAGAAAACAGCCGCCGCGAAAAATTGTCGCGCGAAAAACTTTGCACCCCGCCAGGCCAATCGCGAATGGGTAAATGGGTAGAATGGAAAATGGTAAATGAAAGGAAACTGGCATTAGACAATGAACGAGCCCAAGGAAACACAGCCCCCAGTCTGTAGCAACGCCGCATTTCATCGCGTGTCGAAGACGCATTTGATGGCTCGACGACACTTCAGACATTTCCGCAGACTTCGACAGCAGCAATTGAATAAGGTGGAGTTTTCATAGGCTAAATTAGTGGAGACATAACAAAATATATTTTTCCCTTGGATAATTATTCTTAAAGTGCTTTTTGCTAAACGAAATTGTTTTTATCTTGATTTTTACTTAGATTTCTATAACAAATTTATAAATTTTTATAGTTATGAAACGTTGGAAAATCTTCGAAATGATTCCGCAAAAAAATAGCTTGACTCACATCGATCTCAAGTTTACTTTTTGCTGTGCAATTTCATGTTATGCTTCGATCTCTGTTTCAAACAAAATTGTAAAGATAATTCATATTCTATATCAGAAGAAACTTAATAACCAATGGAATCAACCATAGCTAGATCCCCTCTGTATAAGACTTTTTGATTTTCTTTTACTTTCAGTACTCTGTTCCCATCATATCTTTGTTTTCACTTTCGAGCTTTCGGTATTTATCAGCTATCCTCGCTCGCTCTGTTTATTCAATTATTCCGGCTGAAATATATATGTTTTGAAATCCATTTTTTTCAGCCGTTGATTGAAAAAGTATGCGAAGCGTGCATAAATTGTTGCGACTGGCCAAATGCCACAAATTCAATTTACGATGAACAATCAATTTTGTATCGAACGATCGCAGGTTGACTCTTGGCCCCCATTCGTTAGACTTGCCCAGCCCCAGTGGGATCTCACTAAACAACACACACAACACCCGCCACACACACACACAGACACACTCGGAACACATTCACTTACATATTTCATTTTGTTTATTTGCATTCCGTCGCGCGTTGCTTTGGCTTTGCCGGACTTCAACTTCTTGACGTTACGTTAGAGTTTTGGTTCCCAGAGGTGGAATAGGAGCGGAGCAAAAACCTGGCTGCGGAAATTGAAATTTGCGCTGGGCAAAGTGAAGGCGGATCGATTGCAGGCACTGATCAAAGTCAACAGCTCGCAAAGCCTACTCAACTGCAGATACAAAAGATACAGATACATTGCTTGTGGCGTATCTTAAGCTCTCTCTCTCCCCCTCTCTCGCTCTCTCTGCATCTCTATCTCTGTCGACTTCAACTCGCTGTTGTTGGCAGTTGAAGCCTCGGTGCAATTTTTATTGTTGGCATTATTATCGTCACATGTCGCTCACTAATTGATTTTTCTTGTCGCCTGCCTCGTCGCTCGTTCGTTGCCTTTCGATCGACTCGCGGATCGTTGCTCGATCTGAATGATTGGCTGCAGTTGTGGTTGTTGTTGTTGCTGTTGTTAATTTGGTTGCTGTTGTCGCAGTTGCTTGCAAATTTTGTGCGCACATGACACTTGCCGGGACAGGCAACATCAGCGCTGCCAGTGCTGCCAAATGTGTCAAAGTCGCTGTTGCATTAATAAATTTTGCGTACATCACACAAGCAACTCTTTGTACCTCCATCTCTCGCTCTCTCTCTGTGTCTTTGATGTTTTCTCTGCCTCTCAAGCATTGACCAACCGAGCGAGCTTCCACAATCCGCAGCAGTTGTCTATTGCCTACAAATTGAAGACTTTTAATAAAAAATAAAAGAAATAAAAATAAATTGAAAAGTTGTCAAATAAAATTTAAATAAAATATTTAGCAAAATATTTATTCAAGCAGAAAAATGTTGAAAAATATTTTTAAATATTTTTAAAAAAATACCCAAAAAATAAAATAATAAAAAAATATGTTTAAAACTTTGTTTTAGATGGAACCCTGATATGATCTTCCACATATTTCAAAGAGAGTATCTGCCAAATGGGAAAAGTTCTTTAGTTAGTTTCGACTGCTGAGCAGAAAATCGATGATCGAAAAGTTGCGATTTGGACGCTGAGCTGTTGGCTGTTGGCTGTTGGCTGTTGGCTGTTGGGAACTGTTTGTCTCTGTGTTCGCATTGACATTTTGTCACTTAATTTGTTGTTTTTCCAGCGAGCTGCTGCAGGTTGGTTGGCTTGGCTTGGCTGCTTAGTTGGACAGGCAACTGGTTTGGCTGAGGCAGCTGGCAGTTGCTGTTGCTGCCGCTAGTCGGCAATTGCCTCCGCTGCATGGAGCAGCAATTTGTTGGCCGATCGCAGATAGGGCAATTTTAATTGGACTTAACGGAAACTAGCAAAGAAATGCATGCAAAGCATACAAATGAAAGGTGAAACCGCAACAGGGTAATGCAGGTGAGGAGCGGCCGGGAGAGTGCAGCATGTCAAAGTCTTGGCTAAGAGCTGGTAAATGTGTTGGCTCTGGTTGTGAATTGAGCTATCTAAGAGTGATCATAGCAGCAGTGATCGCAGCTTGATTGCGCCCGTTGGGATCCTGAGACCGAATCATTCTTTGACAGCAGCAGCGGCAGCAGCAGCACAGATCGTGAGAAATTCACTCTGTGAATGCCAATTGCCAACTGATTTTCACAGCAAGTTAACATTCCGAGAGTAGTACAACTTTCAAGATGGCTCAATTGTGATTTACTCATTATCGATTATCGGAATCAGTTTGGAATCTGGCAGAGCTTAAGAGTTACTTAAGCTAGAACTTTGTTAAATTCAAATTCAATAAAGTTTAAGTTATGTTGGAAGGGCAATTTTGAATTGAGCTCAGATGTCTATCTATCTTTTTAGATTTTTCTTTAAACTCGACTATCTAAAACAATTTCTTTGGACCTTAGACAAATGTGAATGCATTCACAATGCTGTGCTTTGTTCCCGTCGTCCAGTTGGTTAGACGTGGGAAAGCAACCTGGCTGAGAGCTAGCTGCTAGCTAGTTATGATTGATTTGACTGAGCAACGTAATCTAAACTCTTTCGTCATCAGCTCCATTGGAAACGGCGGCGTTGGCGGCGATAGCGGCGGAGTCTAGTGAAACACCTGCGCCATTATTTTACGTTATTGTCGCACATAGCGAAGCCAATATATCATTGATAGCCGATGACGACGATGCTGCTCCTGCTGCTGCTGCTGACAACGACTCATATGTGTGTGTGTGTGTTGGTGTGTTGTTGCTTGAAGTGTTCCACGTCGTGGATGTTGCACATTTCTCAGACGTCACAAAGACTCCTTGCCCTGCCCTGCCCTGCTCTGCCCGTTGGCAGCGACCAGCCTGACCGTAGTGGGAATTGGGCTGGGCTGCGGCTGGGTCGTTGCACTGTTCTGGCCCGGCCCGGTCGGGTGACTTATGTTAGCTGCCGCTGCAGCCGGCACATCCATCATCTATCAAAGACGAATTCATCTCCGTCAAATCGCAGGGCCTGCGCTTTGAATGTGGGCTACAACATTTATGAATAAATTGCACGTACGACGACACCTCATGGCATGGCTGCTGCACTTGCAGCAGCTCCTCCTCATGGCCGCAGCCACGTCCCATGTCAACCCACTTGGACGGCCTAGCCGCGCATTGCCAAATGAGCGCAGCACCAGAGCACAGGACAGAAACTAGCCAAGACACAAGGGGGCCACACAGACGAAGACGAAGACGGCGACGATGACGATGACGATCATTTGGTGCCGCCAGGAAATTTCAAATTTATTATCGCATTTGCCATTATTTATGATTTGTGCAAAATCTTGTCGTATATCAAAGTCAATGGTGTGACATAAACTATCGATGGCTATCGATAATTTACGTCAACTCTTTCCAACTAATAACAACAACAGCAATAGCAAAAGCAACTAAAATAATGATGAGACTGCGAATGATGCTGTTGACAATCTGCTGCTGCTGCTGCTGCTGTTGCTGCTGCTGCCGTATTGAATTCGGTTCGAGGAAACATATTTCGCGAATTGCATCCGCTTGAGTTGGCACCTTCGATGCGAATGTGCTGAGCTCCTTTCGTTGGGCATGGGTAATTCAATTGAAAGCATTTATCATTCACCTTTGGACAAGTTTCATTTAATCCGGATCCCACGCTCTACGAATATTTGTTTCAAATTGAGCACAAAAGTGGTTGAAGACCTTGCTTATTCTTCTTCAGATTTTTATGGAGATTAAATATTTTCAGTCTTTGATATAGGTATTACTTCATTTAGAGTTTACCTCACCTCATTTATGTATAGATACTAGCTAAAGCATTTGAAGGAACACCTCAACACATGACTTCAAATATATCCGCCAAATAAGAACGTAAGAGTTGACTTTATCTTATGGAAATCTTTGCATCTAATGTCAAACAAATTTCATTTAATTGCATACAACAATTTCAGTCATTTCAAATCGAATCGGCGTCTGGAGAACATCTCCGCAGGGGTTAATGCTCACACCCCTATTTTGATAAAATATAGAAAATATATATGGCGAGAGAGCTCATTTGGCGCTGAGCTTCTTTCTCATATTCTTAAATCGCAATGGAGATGAATAGAAAAGTAATGCGTGCTGGGATATCTGTGCGCACATCTGCCGGAGAAGTGATAGTTACCAAGTGTTGCCCCGAGGACAGGTTTATTCTCATGGACACAGATCAAGATCAAAGCTCTCCAATAAAATCTGGATTGGAATGTGGATTGCCCGGGAGTAATGAAAGTCTCGACATGTTCCCAACTGCCGCCAACCAGGTACAGGTCGAATGTATTTATAGCTTATACATAGATATGCAGCAACAGACATAATTCTCATCTATAGGTCAACGAAAGGTGCTCAACTAGGGCCCAGTTCATGGAGAGTCGGAAGTTGCCTCCGTTCAATCAGCTCAAGCGTGCAAACCCGAGCAGTCGTGCTGGGCCGTGTCGGGGCTACAAGGGGCATCGCAATGAAAGCAGGCCGATTGCGAGAACTGCAAATGAGATCGAGGGTAACTTGGTGGTGGCGCTAATCGATAGCAGCAATCCTGCCGGCAAGATGACGCCGAGTCAATGGGAACTGGTGGAGGCAAGACTGGTCGATGAAATGCTCCACTTCATGGATATTCCTCACGTGTTGCCCATCAGATTCGACGATGCTGGTTGGCAGTCAGGCGTCAAGCTTATCACCTGTGCCGATGCACACGCTCTGGACTGGCTTTCCAGAACTGCGTCAGCAATGCCGGCGCCTTGGCCCGATGCAAAACTGAAAGTTGTCAACAAGGCATGGATAACGTCGCCAATTGAAGCACAGCTGAATCTGCCACTGGTCATGCCACAGGAGCAAGTCTTGAATCTACTCAAGTGGCAAAATCCAGATGTACCCACCGCTGACTGGCTGGTGGTTTGTGTCAAGACCGAGAACAAGGGTCAAAAGATGCTGTTGAAAATCAGCAAAGAGGCCAGCGATCTGCTTTCCTCGAGGCATGGCAGAATGTGCTGGGGCATGGGCACTGTGCGTCTTCAGATTAAGAAGCAACACAAAAGTTCCAAGCCTGAGGCCAGTGAGTTCACTGAGGTGCAACAGGTTCCTTGCTCGAAGGTGACTCCGGAAGTTGAGAATGCAGAGTCCGCGGTCACTTGCAATGATCAAATGGTAGAGGCACAAGTAGATCTGCTGGATAGCTGTGCAGCTGTAGCTGCCACGGCTCAACTATCGCCGGTGTAAGACGCAATCCTGAAGGACATCATCGTTGATATTTTACCAAACATTAGCTTGGGCAACTATAGGGTATACTAGTTTGTTTTGTTCGTTTCATTTAGCTTGTATTAACATAAATGTTGAATCTGTTAAATGCTTCTTGAATAATTTGTAGAAAGGATGAATAGTTCTGGTAAGATGAAGGTGTTTCTGTGTGTCTACACTCAATTTAAAGAACATTGCATTAAGAATACATTCTGGTATTTTTAAAAATATTATTTCAAATAGCTCTGCTTAGTAAGTTTTGAAAACTCGTTCAGGAACTGGTTCCATTAGGGGCCTAAACTTTGGCAAATAATTCCATTCAAATCGCCAATTATTGGGACATCGAAGTCGGAACAAACATCAAAGTGGCTTCAATTGCAATGCTGTAACGACTTGAGCGAATAGAATTTACAGTTGCATTATACACACTCAGGCACACTCACACACACACACACACTAACACGCTCGTAGCTGGCTTGGAAGTTGTGCCGGAAAAATCTCTCGCATAATCATAAAATGACTTGGGAAAAAGGAAATTCTAGCGACAGATTTATGCACTCGAGAAAGCTTTTGCGCCGTTGAATGCATTCACTTCTCTCTATCGCGCTCTCTCTCTCTGTCTCGGAGAACTGCTGCACTATGGCTGCGATAGTCCTGCCTAGGGTCTGGCAGCAATTGCTACGCTAAAATGTGAAGGCGGCGCAATCGCTTGGATTTAGTTGCAATTATTTTTAATGTTGTTTACTTACACTTCCAATTGATGATGCCAATAACTGTTCCAGAACTTTTCGCTCAAATCGATGTGCCGTTTCCAGTGTTGGTAAATGTGCAAAATATCGTAAATATGAATTGAAAGTCGAGAACGATGCAAAATATCGTAAATATGAGTCGACAGTGGAGAAAGAATTGCACTTGGTATTCAATATAGATACGTGGCTACATACTTCATGGCCGCAAAGCAGTCTGATCTATATAATAGGGTAATATCTCTTACACTTTAGCAAATTTAATGTCTTGTCTAGTGAAAAGTCGAGTACTCTGTTGGCGACAATCTATGGTACATCATTCTTAAGAATGGCTAACTGCTTACTGCTTTGGTGGCTTGGGTAATGGGAGTCGAATGAAAAAATATTCATAAATAATCCCATGAAATTACCGCACGCATCAGACATTCAAGAGTTTTCCGCTTTCGTACCTATCTTTGGGGGCAATGTCAATTATGGCAACAAGGACACGCAGCTAGACAGAAGTCGATCTACGAAAAACTAATCAAATGCCGCCCAAAAAAAGAGAGGAAAAAATAAACAGATGAGTCCATGCTGCGAGTGGCACGTGGTTCGCTTGGAGTATGAAACATTCATTTGACGCATGCGACATGCCACATCAGAGTCGGAGTTGGAGTCGAAGTCGAACTCGGAGACGAAGGCCGGGAGTGATGCGCGAATTTGATATTATTGTATATGGCTGTGCGTGACGTTGCATCACGGATGAAATGGATGGAAATCGTGATGGAAGCGCGTCGAGCATAACAAGACCTGCCAACTGACGCCTGATGTGCTGCATCGGCATCGGCATCGGCATCAACATCAATGAAAGTGGCGCCAAAGCAGCTCAGCTCTGGCAGCATTTGGAGACGCCATTCACACGTACCGCTCATACATATCCCAGACAGAAGACTCGAGTTTAACCTTGTGCCAGCAAAGAAGGACGCATTAGGGAAACACTGCGTTTAAGCACACACACTCACATTAGGCCAACAACCGTTTGGGTGTTCAAGAACTGAATTTTAGCTACACAGAATTGGGTGTTTTAGTATTTGCAGTTTTATATCTAGTATCAGATATTTACTTGGCCATTAGGAGAACTAAAGGAAGGCAATCTAAGAATAGCTTATGGATAGAGTCTTGTCTTGGATCAATTTATGTTACTTAAAAATGCCAACAATGATATGGACTATAATTATCTAAAGATCTTTGAGGTACTCTAAAGTTTTAGGAAGTTCAAAAGAATCAAAAAATAATTCATACACTCAGCAGGTGAAAACTCTGTGCAGAGGTAAAGACTGGCTCTTGGTTGCATAGGCAAAATTTCAAGTTTTCATTGATCATTGAGCCAAGTGAAAGAAGTTTGACGACTTGAGATATTCCAATTTATATCTTAAGTTTGAAGCAATTGGTTTAAATATATCTTACGTGCTCTAATTACTTCTTTGAATTATAAAAAGATTTGCATTTCTAATGCAGTTTAATATAAACTTTTAGTGTTCTCTCACATCATGCAGCAGCCACAGCAATGCTCTATGAAACCACAGCACTGTGTTGAACCTAAACCAAAATTATGGTTCTACAGTGTATTCCGATGCAGAGAGAGAGAGAGAGAGAGAGCGATAGAGAGCATGTCGAAAAATAGGGAAAAGGGAGCGAGAGTTGTGGGTAGCAGGCGACTGCTGTGTTTTGTTGCATAGCTGCCGTCGCATCGGTCGCATCACATCCCACAGACATAAACAAGGCAAAGTTATGGACGCAGCTTATGTCCTGCCAAGCTGCTCCACATCTCAGCCACAGCGAGACAAACTTTCGTGCAATTGGGAAATGATTTGTGCAGTTCGTGCTGGCTGCCTGGCTGCCGGGCTGCCGGGCTGCCGGGCTGGCAAGGCGCATGGAGCGTAGCTAGCGAATGGCAGGACTGCTGATAAACGTTGTCCTGGCACTCGTGGCCGTGCTTGTTTCGCACCTGTCTGTGCCGCGGTGCAGGAGTACGCAGCGGGGCAATCATCCGGCCAAGCCATAAATAGAAAGCGAGTCAAGAGACCCTGCGGCATCATTGCCAATGGAAAATATGGCAACGCGTTGTCGGTAATTTGCGCAAATTATGTGCAGCCGACGCTGCCGATGCCGATGCCGATGCCGACGCCGACGCCGCCGTCGACTGCCGCTTGCCATTGCTGTTGGTCCAATCTTTGGAATGTGTGCACGTGCTAATGGTCGCGGGAGCCAACGAAAATCGCCAGCATCAACATAACCCAGTCTCTCGTCGAGTGCCGACTGCTCTCCAACGCAAATCTCGGCCTGCCAGTTGGGGCTGCGCGCCATTAGCAATGCCAATGGAATTTACGCCTCACACACGTGCCCGAGACTTCGCTGGATATTGACACGATTCCGTCATCATCAAGTGGCAGCTGGCAGCTGGCAGCCGGCACCAGAGAGCATCGCCTTTTATCAGATTATTTGCAAAATGTTGCGCCAAATATCAAATTGTAATCTTCCTAATCTGATACCAACTCAGTTCAGCAATGCAGAGATTTCGATGGCAAAATGGAAGCCTAATGGCATCTCCTCTGCTTCTCGTGGAACTACAACACAACATATCAAATGGCCAATCCAACTTCAGGTGAAACTAGACAAACAACTGAATCAACTCTGTTTGCTAGTGGGCTTCAGTCTAAGAGTGGAGAGGGGTCTGAAAGTTTATGGTCACATGCGGTGCTATTTATGACACGTTTCCGTCAAAATATTCGCGATTTGTGAGCGACACGACTTGAAATGCAAAACCTAGAAGCAGCAAGGGCAACACTGACTCTCCCGAGTGCAATCACTTGTGAAAATCAGGGAATGGGAACGGAGATGGGGAAGGGAGAGCGCGTCAGGTTGGCTGCCTGCCTGGGATTGTGGCCGCGAGTCGTAGGTAGGTACGTTGAGCACTTGAAACTTCAAAGGAAATGCCTATCGCTGTCAAGGACATAAATTGCGCTGACAGGGCACAAAAATGTATTTAGCCACAGTTGTTGCTGCGCATTTCAGCGGTGTCGCAGCCCGAAAAAAGCCGGGAGCAGCTGCAGACCCCAGACCCGCGCTGTAATGTATGCAGCGAAATATTTTTTAGCAATTGCATAAGGCAGGGACATCAATAAAATAAATAACAATAATTCTGCAAAATGCCCATAAATCCATGGGGCGACGTCATAACTTTCGTTTTTATGACTCCCCTAGACTAGACAGAGAGACAGACAGGCTGACGCGGCCGGAGCTCTGAGGGCATAGGGGTGGCACTGGGGCGGGCTTGGTGGGTTCCACCTGCGTGGCAGACCGTGGGCCGCGGGCCACGTCAGTCAGCAATAAATAAATGCAAGCTGGCAGTCAGTTGGTCGTCACACAGGACATGCAGGACACACGGGGCAGCAGAAAATTGCAGTTGAAATTATTGCATTTAAACAGGACATTATCACAGGGAGAGAGAGAGAGAGACACAGACGGGGCAAAAATTGCAGCAGTTTGCTTTTTCCAGTTGTTGTCCTTGCTGTGTGTGTGTGTGTGTGTGCGGGGCAGGAGCAGGAGCTGTCATTGTTGCTGCGACTCATAAATTAAGTCCTCATAACGGCAAAGTTATTGAAGTAATAAAATTTTACACTGACATTTGACAATCGATGCGTCGCCATTGCCATCGACAGCGACATCGCCATCGTCAGGACACGGCCAGGACAACGCGTTCGTGCCCGCGTTGCCAACGTTGTCAAAAAAAAAAAGAACAAGAAGAAAAACGCATGATAATCAAATGAAAGTTGCAGTTGCAACAGACGGTGAAGCTGCCGCGTTAATTTGATTTACTAAATTGAAATTTAAGAGAAAATAAACAAAGCTGGCAAAGGACTACGAAAGATATGAACTTGGAAGATGGCAGTTTAAAAGGAGAAGAAATATAGTTAATTAAAGGTTTTAAAAGGTAAGCATAGAAGACAATTTAGTCATGCAGTTAAGAGATCAGCATTTTTTGAGAGATATAAAATCACTTTACACTAGTGGCATTAAAAAAGGACCCAGTTCGTCGAACAGTGTAAGCCAAATAGTTATTTCATGTGGAATATATATAACATTTATTTAGGTATATAACACTAGTATATCTAGTAAAATACTCTGTTAACAATTTTCTATAATAAAATTTGTACATTGCATAAAACAAAGATACATGATAGATAGAGATACATTATAGATAGATATACAAGATGAAGAGAATAAGCTCGAAGCTTAAGGTCAGACGGAAACGTTTTCTGAGGGTAAAAAAGTT